ATATATATATATTGTTTTTTTTGTTTGTTTGGTTTTTTTTTGTCCAAATTTTGGACAGTTTCGGCAGCCCAATTAAAAAGCCGGGGTTGCCCATGCCTGCCCTAGGTCATACATCAAAGATTAACTGTAGTCGTGTCATCCGATTTGCAGCCGTTTGTTTTGGATACTGTGATGGGGAGAGGAGCTGATCTGTTAACTAATCACCACCTGGTAGTGAGTTGGGTCAAATGGTGGGGGAAGATGCTAGACAGACCTGGTAGACCCAAATGTGTAGTGAGGTTTTGCTGGGAACGCATGGCAGAAGAACCCGTCAGAAAGATCTTCAACTCGCACCTCTGGGAGAGCTTTAACCACATCCCAGCTGAGGTGGGGTATATTGAGTCCTTATGGGACATGTTCCGAACCTGAGTTTAAGTAACTACCTTGAGCTGTGGCCGCAAGGTTGTCTGTGCTTCTCATGGTTGCCATCCTCGAACTTGGTGGTGGACACCCCGGGTTAGGGAGGCTGTTAAGCTGAAGAAGGAGTCCTATTGGGTCTTGTTGGCTGGTGGGACTCCAGAGAAAGCTAAGGAGTACCAGAGAGCCAAACAGTCCACAGCCTTGCCTGTTGCTGGGGCAAAGGCTCAGATGTGGGTGGAGTTCAGTGAGGCTTTGGATAAAGACTCTCGGTCGGCTCTGAGGAGTACCTGCTAGAAGAAACAAAAAAAAAAAAAACACTGATCTGGTATAAACCCATCTCTCTCTCCTACCCGAACACAGAGAGAACAAAGATCTCTGTTTACTGAAAATCCACACATCTGTGCTTACCCTAGAGAACACAGTCCAACAATCTGGGCTCTTGTCAGCCCACAAATGATGAGTAATAGTAATTAAGAAAAACATAGAAACAACTAAATCAGAATACTTTCTTACAATTTTTTGTTCTTTTGAACGCATCCAGAGGACCTGACTTAACTTTCTTAGTCTTTCTACCTGGATTATTGAGCATGCATCAGGATATTTTAAACAACAAAATGTTTAAATATTATCATAAATATCAACCATGTACCCCTCCCCACCCCCCAAAGAACAAGTTAAAAATTGAGTAAATAAAAAGGAAAAACTCTCCCATGTTGGGGTGTGTATTATATACCAGAACTTACAATAATCAGTTCAGAGCATTAACACTGTACACTCGCCCTACAAAACAAATAAAATGTTGTACATACTACCGTTAAAGGACCTAACAGCCAGATACCGAGTCAAATACAAGCTTAAGAAAGACACTGGTTAAGGGAGGCCGATCCTATGGTTTCTTCCACTCCTCGCTGCCTGTTGCTGAAATGACATTCTTCTTGACGTATTCCATTGCTTTAACAGAGTCAACAAACACCTTGTCCATCCCCCCATGCATGATCCAAGCCGTGCAGGAAAAAGAAGTCCATACCGGGCACCTGTATGGTTTTGCAGGATTCACCTCACCTCCAAGAACCCTGCTTGTGCCTTTGCCACGCTTGATGTGTAGTCAGCTGTGATGAATATGGATGATTCTGTGAAGTGGATCGAGCTTCCACTGCGTGCTCGTAATATCTCCACACAATTTTGATGATAATGCAGCCTGGCCACGATGACTCTCAATTGATCATCCGTGCCTCTCCTGCCCGGTCCAGTGTACATGGTCAACCAGCAGCGACTTGTCCAGCTTCAGCACTTCCATTAGCATTTTGCCTATCACTGTAGGTATGCACGAGCCCAGCCACTGAAGAACTCCTATTATCCTAATATTGTTATGTTTCATGTTCCCTTCCACAGACTCAAGCCTTCCTCTCAGCTCATCCACCTTATTCTTTAATTCCACTACGGTCCCGCACCGGACCCCCACCTCATCTGGGCACACAGACATTCCATTCTCAGCCTCCATAATACTTAGTTTAACTTGGGCAAGTTCTGCTCTGAGGGATGTGGTCTTTACAGCGAGTGCTGCCCTTACCACTTGTAATTCACTGCTAATAAAAATAAAATCATCCGTCAGGGCTGCCTTCATTTCAATCCCAATTATTGCCGCAACTTCAGACTTAATTAAAGCCAGAATATCTGACTTCAGAGCCGACTCGACTGTCCCTGCAGAGCTCGGCGAAGGTGTGGTCGATGCACCTGTCATTGCCATCCCACCTGTCACATCAGGTTCACTGTGAACTGAGGCTGAAGAAGTATCTCCAGGCCGCGTGGGTGGGGGCACCGCTGTCTTAATTTTTTTCAATTTAGATACCATTTTCCAGCTCCATTGAATCAATCCTGCAACAACACCAATCTCAGAAGAAGATTTCACTGTAGAAACAGCGAGAATATAATTACAAAAGGCAGTTTTTCAGGCGGGTCTGATGGGAGCTTAGCAAAATGCTGCTTAACGATCTGCTGCCATCTTGCGCTCTCCGGATTTGTACTTTTAGTTGTTTGTGTGCTGTTCGCCTTCTTGTGACTATTTTACATAAAATACTGTATGTCTGGTCTTTATCTTGACATGTCTGCTCTATATGTATCGTCTTCTAATAGCCAGTCAGGATGTCTGTCTCACTGAATTTGTTTCAGGAGGTTTGTCTGACATTCAGCATTAGATGTTGTTTTGGGTTTATCAGTGGACTCAACAATTGATGTTTGTCTGAATATAAAGTTACAACTGTCTAACTGTCCTTAATGTTTATGTTCAACAATGTTCAGTCAGGTCAACTGGATAGTTTCTTTTCTTACTGAGACATTTTGTCCTTCATTCGAAGAACTTCTTCAGTCTTTAGACGATCAAAAAACCGTCCACATGACCTGACTGAACATTGCTGGATTTGTACTGGATTATTGAGCATCAACTTTTAATGTTTATGTGTTTCATTGTTCCCTGCAGATGTTCAGAAGACAATGCTGATTAAAGAAAAAGCTCCTGATGAATGGAATTCTGGTGTGGACCAGAAAGACCTAGAAACACGCAACATAAAGGAAGAAGAGGAAGAACTGAGGATCAGTCTGGATGTAGAGCAGTTCAGTATGAAGGAGGAGACTGATGACACCAGGTTTTCCTTCATTGCAGTTCCTTTGAAGAGTGAGGAGGATGATGAAGAGAAACCTTTGTTCTCTCAGCTTCATCAGCACCATTTGGAAGATGACAATCTTCCAACCAACAGCTCAGCTGACCAGATGAAAGCAGCAACTGTCGGAAAGGACTGTAGAGGAGTAGAAACAACCAGGAACCCATATCTAAATACTCATGAAGATGATTCTAGCTCTTCAGAGACTGAAGACAGTGAGGATGATGATGAAGATGTGAATGATCTTGATTCTCAGATGAAAGACTCATTAGACTCTGGATCAGAATCTGAAGACCGTGACAATGACTGGACAGAGAACAGGGCTGCTGAGTTAGGTGTAAACACTGTCAATAAAGCTTGCATTTTTTCTGAGTTTGAGAAACATTTTCTCCACAAGAGATCTGTCCAGAGAAACAAGACAGGTCATTCAAGAAAAAAGTCCTCAAGTTGTTTGATTAGTGAGAAATGTTTTAGAGGGAAGAAAACTGGAGGCTCCAACAAAAATATCCAGTCAAGACAGAAATCATTTAGTTGTGATGACTGTGGACAAAGGTTTGGAAAGAAGTCGCATTTAAACTCACACATGATAATCCATACAGGACAGAAAGCATTTGCTTGTGATTTTTGTGCACAAAGGTTTGGACGAAAGTCACATTTAAATAGACACATGACAATCCACACAGGACAGAAACCATTTGCTTGCTATGTTTGTGGAGAAAAGTTTAGACTGAAGTCCAACTTAAACTCGCACATGATAATCCACACAGGAAAGAAACCATTTTCTTGTGTTCTTTGTGAACATAAGTTTGTATGTAAGTCAACTTTAAACAAACACATGAGAATCCACACAGGAGAGAAACAATTTGCTTGTGATGTTTGTGGACAAAGGTTTGGAAAAAAGTCACATTTAAAAACACACACGATAATCCACACAGGACAGAAACTATTTGCTTGTGATGTTTGTGGACAAAGGTTTGGAAGAAAGTCTACTTTAAAAACACACATGAGAATCCACACAGGACAGAAACCATTTGCTTGTGATGTTTGTGGACATAAGTTTAGACATAATTCAAATTTAAACAGTCATATGAAATTCCACACAGGACAGAAACCATTTGCTTGTGATGTTTGTGGACAAAGGTTTGGAAGAAAGTCAAGTTTAAACTCACACATGATAATTCACACAGGACAAAAACCCTTTACTTGTGATGCTTGTGGACAAATGTTTGGACGAAAGTCAAGTTTAAACTCACACATGATAATCCATACAGGACAAAAATCATTTGCTTGTGATGTTTGTGGACAAAGTTTTGGCCGAAAGTTACATTTAAACAGGCACATGATAACCCACACAGGACAGAAACCTTTTGCTTGTGATGTTTGTGGACAAAGGTTTGGACACAAGTCAAATTTAAACTCACACATGAGAATCCACACAGGACAGAAACCATTTGCTTGTGTCGTTTGTGGACAAAGGTTTGGAGAAAATTCACATTTAAACAGACACATGAAAATCCACACCGGACAGAAACCATTTGCTTGTGATGTTTGTGGACAAAGGTTTGGACGAAAGTCAAGTTTAAGCACACACATTATAATCCACACAGGACAGAAACGATTTGCTTGTGTTGTTTGTGGAAAAAAGTTTAGAAATAACTCGCATTTAAACAGTCATGTGAAAATCCACACAGGACAGAAACCATTTTCTTGTGATGTTTGTGGACAAAGGTTTAGAAATAAGTCAACTTTAAGCTCGCACATGAGAATCCACACTGGACAGAAACCATTTGCTTGTGATGTTTGTGGCCATAAGTTTAGAAATAAGTCAAATTTAAACTCGCATATGAAAATCCACACAGCAGGAGAAAACTGTTCAGTTTTAAATATTATGACAGTTTCTAAAGACACTTCAGAGTTCACTCAAACTTGAAACTGAATTGCATAATTGTTTTCCATAACTGCAGTGGTTTTTATTTACAGTAATATATGTTAGAAGTGTAATGGTACATATATTTGTACTGGACTGGCCCAGATTGTGTGTTTGGGACAGGTACAGAATGAAAATGTAAAGAAAAGTATGTTGGTTACAGGCGATCACCTTTCCTCTAGAACAGACCTGGGCATTGTACGGCCCCAGGGCCACATGCGGCACTTTGGTTGACTCTGACCGGCCCCCGTAAGGGGAATTACAAAATACATATGTAAACAAATGAAGTTAACCAAATCCAGATATAGATCCTCTCTCACTGAAGATGTCAGCTTTGCTTCACATCTCCACCTCAGACCTTCAACCTGACTTTAACATTTCCGTTAAAGCCCAACAGAGACTAGACTTCTCTCACTAAACAAGAAAAAAGAACTGAAAAACACCAAATGAGATGTTTAGACTACTAATGTAGGAACGTAAAGAACTGGGACTTGAAATCACAGTTCAGTGACGATCACTATTATATGATGTTTCATATTTGGTGTACAAAGACAATATTGTGATATATTTAGAAAGATAAGAACTTTTTCCAGCAGTATATAAAACTCAAAATGAGTTTTGGGGTGAATGTGACTGAAAATGATCATTAATATAATGTCACAAATGGTAAAAATGTTAACAGTTTACCATTGTACTAGGAAATTTAATTGAATAAATGACATTTTTTTTGTAAGGAAACTTCGCTTTTTCGTTGCTTAATCATAACAAATACTCTTACCAGCTTGTTAAAACAGTGCTATGTACTTCTTTTAATAATGAAATACTATTATTATGCAGTATTGAGTTAACTTGAAATCAGGTCTCTCTTGTAAATGAGTCCTCGAGGCTCAATGGGATTTACCTGTCTAAATAAAGGTTGAATGAAAAAGTTATTTGTGCCAGCCCTCCACAATATTTGTTGTTTCTCATGTGGCCCCATGGAAAAAATAATTGCCCACCCCTGCTCTAGAAGCAGTCGGACAATTTATTTAACTGCATTTTCTTAACTGCTATGATAAGTAGATCATACCTTCTAAAGCTCTCCACATCAAAGCAAAGTATGAATATTTTGTTCAGATGAAACAGAGGAGTTTGCAGACTTGCCTGTTTATTTCAAGTCAGCTGTGTGGAAAAAATTTGTGATCCTAATTATCACTGTCAATAAAGCGCAATGAGAGTTGCAAGTATGGCAAGCCAAGTAGATCATGAACTGGGGGACTTGAAACTAGCTTTGGCAAACCATTGCTGTATTTTTTCAATAATGTTAATATCAAGCATCACTTTTTTCACACTAGCACACAAGCAGCTGAGAGGCCATGTGTGAGTTTTCAATGTTTTATTTTATGTGTACATAATTCTTGATGAAAATTCTAGTTGATATAAAATTAGTCAATTTACAAGGTGTTTTCTTTAATGAACAGATTGTATAAGGCATAATATAGAATGTTTCCTTGTTTAGCATCACCATTGCTTAGCAGAATGGCATGTTGTGTTACAAATAAAACTAAATAAAAAATGAACAAATTAAAAGTCAAGTGCAACAAAAAAGTCAATGCTTGTGATAAATTGTGTCACATTAATTTCATTAACTTAACCATAGGAGTGAGTTTAAAACAGAGCGATACGTATATGGACTAGTTGAACGAGGAATCTGTCTAAAATAGTTATTTAATTCAGTTTATGTATATAGCGCCAAGTCACAGCTGGAGTCATCTCAGGGCACTGAACAGAAACATTCATAAACATAAAAAGTAAGTTAACATTATTTATCTGAGGAGTAGACTGATTTGAGTTTAACTTCATCACAGACTCATTTTGAGCAAGCATGAAGGCGACAGCAGGAAGGAAAAACTCCCTCATGAATAAGAAACCTCCAGCAGAACCAGGCTCAGGACAAGCGGCCATCTGCTTCAACCGGCTGGGTTTGAAAGGAACAGGAAGGATGAACAGATGCACAATGTCAGGTACAGAATCAAGTTAAGATAGAAATAAATTCAAATGAAAATTATTCAATTGTAACAATTAATTTTAAGAGATGAGGTCAATTTGAAGCTGGCACGGTGGCGCAACTGGTAGAGCTGCTGCCTCTCAGCGAGCAGGTCCTTGGTTCAAACCCCGGTCCAGGGGCCTTTCTGGGTGGAGTTTGCATGTTCTCTCCGTGCATGTGTGGGTTTTCTCCGGGGACTCCAGTTTCCTCCCACAGACCAAAAAACATGCATGTTAGGCTGATTGGTAACTCTAAATTGTCCCTAGGTGAGAGTGAGAGAGTGAATGGTTGTTTGTCTCTGTGTGGCCCTGTGATGGACTTGCGACCCGTCCAGAGTGTACCCCGCCTCTCGCACAGTGATTGCTGGACATGGGCACTGGCGACCCCTGTGGCCCAAAATGGAATAATCGGGTAAAAGATAATGGATGGATGGATGGATGGTCTAAGCCTACTGGCAGCATAACAAGCCAACCCTAATTAACTATAAGATTTATCCCATTTATTTTGAATCAAGTGTTTACATATACAGGTAAATATAGATGTTTAACAACCCGTTTAAATACACCAGAATGTGGGAAATGGCATCTATTTTTTTCAAAATGTTCTGGGGGAGGACCCCCAAATCCCCAACCAATGTGTCCCCCTACATTACAAATGCTTCTGATGCCAATCGACATGAAAGAGGAATATGGCCAAGCAGCGGAAAATGGGCCCTTGAATTTTTTTGGTCAAAAATTTATGAAATTAACTTTTTCTATTAGCAAAAGGCTCTGCTATATTTGGTTTCTCTGGTTGGCTTGGTGCTGTTGTTGCGTGTTTTTTGTGTGTGCAAATTTTGATCTTTCCTATATAAGTCCTAATTAAATTAGGACATGTCAGTAAATGTCTTTTTTACCTGAATCATGTTGTCCTTTCCCCTAATTTTCTTCTTGGATTATATCAGAATGCTTAATTTAAATGTTTAAAATCACAATTGCTAGGTGTCACCTTTTTCTTCCCTTCTGAGTTTGCAGGTATGATAGATGCAATCAAGATTTTTTTCAATGTTAAATACAAGTTCTAATAACAAAAATTTTCATAGATAAGGCATGGGTAACCCCTGGCACGGGCCATATATGGCCAGTTGGACATTTTAATTGGCCTGCCGAACTTATCCAATTTATAGTTAAAAAATGCATTTAGTAGGAGCAAAAAATCTGGTGTAGGTTTACCTGTAGTACCCCATCCCCCAGTAGAGGTGCACTACAGACACCATTTTTTTTTAATCTTCACTGATAAGGTGGAGTGGGGGAGGTGACCCCTTGCCTGGCCTGAGAGGGCTCCGAGGCTGCTATGGAGAGCACCGGCGGAGCTCCATCTAGCTCGCTCTGAGTTTTGTCATCGGCCACCAAGAACTACAAACGCCTGCACTTCAGCATTAGACTTGTTGTCATTATTGTTTATAAAATATTTAAAAGAGGCCCAGCTGCTGCTCCGAATTTGGAGTAATTGAAAATGGCGGATCGTGTTGTTTAGAAAATTTCTCAAAAAGAATCAGTGACTCCACCCCCCGACCAATCAGTGCCCAACAGTGCTCTGACGTTACGTTTTGGTGCCAGCTCGGCTCGTTTGGTACCCCAAAGAAGGGATTGAAAAAGGGGCCAGTTCCACGAAAAATCGATAGTGGAAAAAGTGTTGGAAACGTAGCGAGCCGAGTGGTGCTGAAGAAGGGCTGTGGAAATGGGGCTCAAAAGTCCACAGCATGGTTCTTCATGTCAGCTGGATCTGAAGTCAATCGTCCATTTAGGAGTTTAAGACAGATCCTTTGTTTCCTCTGAGTGACACTTTTCCAAGCTAAAGAAGAAGGACGTGGGTGTGTCCATTTCTTGGATATTTTTTAAATGGGCCCTGACTAAATTTTCTTTGTCTCTCTCATGTAACAGAGTTCAGTTCAAGTCTTTTGGATTGAAGGACTTATAAACATGAAAGCACATTCAACTTTATATATCAAAACAAAGTGGGAAATGGAGGGAGAAATAGAAACTATAACAGAAAGTGGAGAACAATCAGAGTATCAGTGGAAATGTAGCAGCTCATTGAGGCGGAGGCAGTTTGGCTGGAAAAGTCTGATAAGATACACATTACCAAAAATCCCATTATAAAGGTAATTCTCTAACTTCCATGAGAAACTGTGGAAATAAAAGTGCAAATAATTACCATGTTTTTTGGGACAGTCAAGTAATTAAAAACTTATTGGAATGAACTCGTCCTTGAATCGTCGCCTTACCGTAGTGGAGGAGTTTGTACTCCTGAATGATCCTAGAAGCTATGCTGTCGGGGTCAATTATAATTGCCCCTGGTAGGGTCTCCCAAAGCAGATTGGTCCTAGGTGACAGGCCAGACAAAGAAGATTCAGAAGATTTTTATGGACAAAACAAAACAAGGAACTCAAGTGTCCCTTGCCCGTACATGGGTTACCGGGGCCCCACCCTGGAGCCAGGCCTGGGGGAGGGGCTCGTCAGTGAGCGCCTGGTGACCGGGTCTTTGCCCATGGGGCCCGGTCGGGCTCAGCCTGAAGGAGCAGCATGGGTTTGCCTTCCTGTGGACCCACCACCTGCAGGAAGGGCCGTAACATTCGGGTGCATGATGCTATGGGCAGTGGCCAAAGACGGGGACCTTGGCGCTCTGACCCTGGCTTACCAAAGCTAGCTCTTGGGACATGGAATGTAACCTCTCTGGCAGGGAAGGAGCCTGAGCTTGTGCGCAAGGTTGAGAGGTACCAACTAAATATAGTTGGGCTCACCTCGACACACAGCATGGGCTCTGGAACTGATCGCTTTGAGAGGGGTCGGACCTTATTCCACTCAGGAGTTGCCCATGGGGAGAGGCATCGAGCTGGTGTGGGTCTGCTTGTAGCCCCCTCCTTTATTCTGCTGGGGGACTTCAATGCCCACGTGGGTAATGACAGTGTGACCTGGAGGGGCGTGATTGGGAGGAACGGCCTCTCTGATCTGAACCCGAGCGGTGTTCTGTTGTTGGACTTCTGTGCTAGTCATAGTTTCTCCATCACGAACACCATGTTCAAACATAAGGGTGTCCATTAGTGCACTCGGGCACCAGGACGCCCTAGGTCGTAGATCGATGATTGACTTTATAGTTGTCATTTGATTTGCGGCCGTTTGTTTTGGACATTCGGGTAAGGAGAGGAGCTGAGCTGTCAACTGATCACCACCTGGTAGTGAGTTGGATCAGATGGCGGGGGAAGATGCCAGACAGACCCAGTAGACCCAAATGTGTAATGAGGGTTTGCTGGGAACACCTGGCAGAAGAACCCTTCAGAGAGATCTTCAACTCACACCTCCGGGAGAGCTTTAAATGCATCCCAGCTGAGGTGGGGGACATTGAGTCTGAGTGGGTCATGTTCCGCACCTCGCTTGTTGAGGTAGCTGCCTTGAGCTGTGGCTGAAAGGTTGTCGGTGCTTCTCACGTTGGTCATCCACAAACTCGGTGGTGGACACCACAGGTTAGGGAGGCTGTCAAGCTGAAGAAGGAGTTCTATCGGGCCTTGTTGACCAGTGGGACTCTGGAGGCAGTTGAGGGCCAAGCGGTGTGCAGCCTTGGCTGTTGCTGAGGCAAAAGCTCGGATGTGGGAGGAGTTCAGTGAGACCTTGGATAGAGGCTCTCAGTCGGCTCCGAGGAGATTCTGGCAAACCATCAGGCAGCTGAGGAGGGGAAAGCAACACTTTACTAACACTGTGTTCAGTGAAGGTGGGGTGCTGTTGACCTCAACCAGTGATGTCGTCGGGAGGTGGAAGGAATACTTCTCGGACCTTCTCAATCCCACCACAACATCTTTCATGGAGGAAGCTGAGTCGGGGGACTTCGGGGTTGATCCGTCCATAACCATGGCTGAGGTCGCCGAGGTAGTTAAAAAGCTCTGAGGTGGCAGGGCTCCGGGAGTGGATGAGATTCACCCTGATTTCCTTAAGGCTCTGGATGTTGTGGGGCTGTCTTGGCTGACACGCCTTTGCAATGTCGCGTGGACATCGGGGGCAGTGCCACTGGACTGGCAGACTGGGGTGGTGGTTTCCCTCTTCAAAATGGGGGACCGGAGGGTGTGCTCCAATTTTAGGGGCGTCACTCTACTTAACCTCCCCGGTAAGGTCTATTCAGGGGTACTGGAGAAGCGAGTCCGATCGTTGGTCGAACATCAGATCCAGGAGGAACAATGTGGGTTCCATCCTGGCTGTGGAACACTGGATCAGCTCTTTAACCTCACTAAGGTACTTGAGGGGTCATGGGAGTTTGCCCATCCAGTCTACATGTGTTTTGTGGACTTGGAGAAGGCATTCAACCGTGTTCCTCGGGGTACACTGTGGAAGGTGCTCCGCGAGTATGGGATTGGAGGCCCGTTGTTACGGGCTGTTCAGTCCCTATACAAGCGGTGCGAGAGTTTGGTTCGCATTGCCGGCAGTAAGTCAGACCCCTTCAGGGTGGGAGTTGGACTCTGCCAGGGCTGCCCATTGTCACAATTCTGTTCATAACTTTTATGGACAGAATTTCTCAGTGCAGCCAGCTGGCGGAGGGTTTCCGGTTTGGTGGCCTCAGGATTTCATCTCTGCTCTTTGCAGATGATGTGGTCCTGTTGGCGTCATTGCGCCGTGATCTTCAGCTCTCACTGGAGCGGTTCACAGCCGAGTGTGAAGAGTCTGGGATGAGAATCAGCACCTCCAAATCTGAGGCCATGGTCCTCAACCGGAAAAGAGTGGATTGTTCTCTTCAGGTCGAGGGTGAGGTTCTGCCTCAAGTGGAGGAATTCAAGTATCTTGGGGTTTTGTTCACGAGTGAGGGAAGAATGGAGCGTGAGATTGACAGACGGATTGGTGCAGCATTTGCAGTATTGCGAACTCTGTACTGGTCTGTTGTGATGAAGAGAGAGCTAAGCTGTAAGGCAAAGCTCTGTTTACCGGTCGGTCTACATTCCTACCCTCACCTATGGTCATGAGCTCTGGGTAGTGACCGAAAGAAGGAGATTGCGGATACAGGCGGATGAAATGAGTTTTCTCCGCAGGGTAGCTGGACTCTCCCTTAGAGATAGGGTGAGAAGTTCAGTTATTCGGGAGAGACTCGGAGTAGAACCTCAACTCCTCCACATTGAGAGGAGCCAGTTGAGGTGGTTTGGACATCTGGTAAGGATGCCCCCTGGGCACCTCCCTATATAGGTGCTTTGGGCATGTCCAACTGGGAGGAGACCCCGGGGAAGACCCAGGACATGCTGGAGAGACTATGTCTCTCGGTTGGCCTGGGAACGCCGTGGAATCCTCCCAGAAGAGCTGGAAAAGGTGGCTGTGGAAAGAGATGTCTGGGCCTCCCTGCTCAAACTGCTGCCCCCGTGACCCGACTTCGGAATAAGCGGGAGATAATGGATGGATGGAATGAGATACAGGCAATACAAGACATTATTGGATGTCTACTGCCTCTAGAAAGTAAAGCATTGGTTGTTTTTTTTTTTGGACTCATGCCTGAAGGATGGCCAAAGATAGACAAATATTTGTTTAATATTTTATTAGTGGTGTGCAAAAAAATCCCTCACAAAAAAACTGGCTTTCACTGGAGAGCCCAACGTTGAACAAATGGATGGACATCACAATGGACATATACAGGATGGAGAGAATAACTGCAGAAGTAAATGACGAAAAGGACTGATTTACTTTATGCTGGAAGAAATGGTTTGTATAAAATCACGCAGACCAGATCTAGATAATTTCTGAATGATATATTGATTATAACAAAAATCACTTTCACTCCCTTTGTGCTATTTATGTTGTGTTCCCTAATTTTGTTGAGCAAAAAAAGGGGGACATTTAAATGGATATTTTACTAATAAGTGAAGTGGATGGGCATGTTAAATATGTTTATCAATATCAATAAAATGTATAAATAAATTTAAAAAAAATCTTGATTGCATTTATAGCTGAATCAACACATAAATGTTTGAATAATAGACAACAAGAAAATATTATACAGTATGCCTTATACAATCTGTTCTTTAAAGAAAACATACGTTTTAATATTATGGTAAAGTTAATACTAAAGTTTTAAGTAAAAACTTGTAAAATTATTAATTTTATACCAACTATTTTCATCAAGAATTGTTATGTAAACAAAAAGTAAAATGTTTAAAACTCACACCTGGCATCTCAGCTGCTTGAGTGGTAGTGTGAAAAAATGACATTTGATATAAAAACTATTGAAAAAATAAATACACCAATGGCTTGCCACAGTTACTTTCAAGTCCCTCAATTCATGATCTACAAGGCTTGCCATACTGGCACCTCTCATTGCTCTTCATTGACAAGTGATTGACAAGTTTTTGTGATTAGGATCACAAAGCTTTTCCACACAGCTGACTTGAAATAAACATGCAGGTCTTCAAGCCCCTCTGTTTCATCTGAAGAAAATATTCATGCTTTGCTTTGGTGTGGAGACCTTCAAAAGATACATTCCTCTACTTATCATAGCAGTTAAGAAAATGCAGTTAAATAAAATGTCTGCCTGCTTCTAGAGAGGTGATCGACTGTGACCAACATACTTTTCATTTGAGCATGCATCACAATACTTTTCATTAGCATTTCTGTACCTGTCCCAAACACACAATCTGTAACAGTCTGGTACAAATATGTGTACCATTACACCTCTAACATAAACACATACATTACTGTAAAAAAAAAGTGCAGTAACAGAAAACAATTATTCATACAATAATTTTACAAAATACCTTAGAGCTGATCAGTTTCAAATTTGAGTAAACTCAAGTGTTTTTAGAACTGGTCTTAATATTAAGAACTGAACGGTTTTCTCCACCTGTGTGGATTCTCATGTGTCTGTTTAAATTTGACTTTTGTCCAAACGTTAGTCCACAAACATCGCAAGCAAACGGTTTCTGTCCTGTGTGGATTCTCATGTGTGACTTTAAAGTTGACGTTTGTCTAAAACTTTGTCCACAAGCATGACAAGCAAATGGTTTTTGTCCTGTGTGGATTCTCATGTGTCTGTTTAAAGTGTACTTATCGCTAAACATTTGTCCACAAACATCACAAGGAAACGGTTTTTGTCCTGTGTGGATTCTTGTGTGTGTGTTTAAAGTTGACTTTTGTCTAAACCTCTGTCCACAAACATCACAAGCAAATGGTTTCTGTCCGGTGTGGGTTCTCATGTGTATGTTTAAATATGACTTGTTTCCAAACCTTTGTCCACAAACATCACAAGCAAATGATTTCTGTCCTGTGTGGATTATCATGTGTGTGTTTAAAGTTGACTTTTGTGTAAAACTTTGTCCACAAATATCGCAAGGAAATGGTTTCTGTCCTGTGTGGATTCTCATGTGTGTGTTTAAAGTTGACGTTTGTCTAAAACTTTGTCCACAAGCATCACAAGCAAATGGTTTCTGTCCTGTGTGGATTCTCATGTGTGTGGTTATATGTGACTTTCGTCTAAACCTGTGTCCACAAACATCACAAGCAAATGGTTTCTGTCCTGTGT